AACAAAAACAATTTCATAAAATGTTCTACAGGTGATTGTGTAAAAATTTTGATAAAACTGTAAAGCTATCTGCAAGAGAGAGGAGGGGTGGGACACGATGTATGTTCCTTCATCATTTCTTTAGTCAATTGGATCATTGGAAAGCTTTCTGTCTCTCTCTCTCCCTCCCTAATTCATAGAAACCAAATAATAACTACAAAATGCACATGGTCTGGAAAGGGCAGAATGAACACAGTGTAATTAAAGAGCTCAGCTTACATTATTAATTGTGTTGTTGACAAAGTACCCACATCTAAAAACACACTCACAAATGTTCAGATCAATTGGCTGCATGATAGAAATTACCCATAGAATAAATCAACAACCCTTTCTGCAATGTTGACAAGTTATATGCTTATTTTATTATTTAGGGATTTATAATTAATCATTAAAAGTTATTGATATTCCAACCTGCTGGAGGTTCGTCATCGAGGCAAAATACTCCTGATCTGTCCTCTGAAATTAATAGTTAACAACCAAAATATTATTGGCAGTGTAGTTTGTAATGAAACATAATGAAAAGTATTCATATACTAATAATGTATAGCAAAAGTCATGACTTGCAAATTGAAATCAAAGTTTGTCTGTTGCAATCTTTCTTCTCAAAAAATAGTGTGCAATAATAAGGAACTTAAAGATTAAGCTTCAAAGTTTTTCATTTGAAACACATGAATGACAAGATCTTACACGATTAAATTTGCTGGTCGGTGGTTAATCAATGTTCTTGACTTTTGAATTGGACATTTATATTGGAGATTTTTGTGCCTCATAACCTTGCCTAACACCACTTGGCCCTGATGAATTCTCATCCTCATCATCAGTTGTAACTATAATTTGATCTGGAATATATGTAATTGTATGTAAAGAATTGAGAGATACTGGAGCTCCCACTTTTGGCCCCTGCCCCTGCATGGAGACCACTCCATTGCTGGAAAACCCTGGAAATCGGGTAATGAGACCCCACACAGAGGGGAGACAGGGAACTGCCACAATGAACTGTCTAACAGAGGAAAAATGGAGGGAGGGAACTCCTATCCAAAACAACACTCACTGTAAACCGTCGATGTGAAGGCTGCCAATAAGTCTCAGTACAGGAGCACAAAGATCCTGGTGCATGCACATATCAAAAAAACTACTAACTATAACATGAGCAAACACACGCGCTTGTTGTTGTTAACTCTGTTAAATTGCATGTGACTGCATTTATTGTCCATATAGAACAAAAGCAGGAGTGTTAAACCTGTTGTATTACTCTTTTGAAAGTACAATTTAGGTTGAATAACTCATCACCTAATTGAGATTGAATGATAAATGTACAGGGTGGGAGTCTTACCTTTGCTAAGGCCGTTAAGAATCTCCGGGTTGATTCTTAAAAATAAACAACTAAGTCAAATCCATTCTTATTCTGGCCCCCCCTTACATTGCGCATAGATATTCTGCATTAAATCATAAATTGGAAATAATTAAAAGCAGTCTTCAATGGTATGAAATCAGTTGTATGAAATTTTTAATCTTTCCGAACTAAAACAAAATTCCTTGACTTTACCCTGATCTTAACTATTTTTTCCCTGACCATTCCCTGATCTGTTTCAACCCTGTATTAATATGTACATGAAACGATGACGATTTGTAACAGTATGGCTGCAAAAAGTAAATGACCCTTTTAACTTACTTCCATCCTTGGGAGGTGGCGTCATAGTCAAATCAACCGTAGATGACTTACACATAGTAGTATTTGTGGCAGTTGCTGTAATAATCAACAAAAATATCAAAGTTATGCATACACTTCTCAATGTACTGATTTGTGATTATCATCTTGTGGTATTGATATGCCTTTATGGGCAAGCTAAGTTGCATATAAAAAGGGACCCTGCATACTGTTCACAAATTTTTCTTTATAAAATTTAGTGTCATTTATTGTTGCAGAATAATTCAAAACTCTTCGTCCACAGAAGCTTATGTCTTTGCATTTAACTCAAGGCATTTGCAACATGAAAGCATGCCTCTCTTTCTATTAACATCTTGTTTTACAACACTTTTGCTCAGGCATGTGCAGAAATAGAGACTGACATGGAGTAGCAGAATTTTACAAGAAACATGCTGGACATATTAAGAACTGTTAAAACTGGTTTTTGTTTTATGACATAAAATTAGGACTCGCCCCAACAGAGCACTGATCCTGCTTCCATAATCTAATAACACTCTACATACTTACATGGTAGAGGATCCAGCACAAAAAAGATCTTTGCAGAAGAATGAGAGGTTGAAAATTCATTCACCAACTCATCCCCTGACATTAGCCCACTGTGTATGTCAGTCATTACATGACCTTTATTGTAGGACTTGATAAATGTTAGTCTGCAAATGAACAACAGACAGTCAAATCAATTTTTAAAAAATTCTTATTTACAACAAATGGGAAATATCTGGGTGTGTGAATTTCAAAGATAGGCTATAAATTGCTGAAAACAATTTAATATAGTGAAAAAGTCATGCCTTTTAATTTGCCCATAAACAGTTTAACGCTCTTTCCGAGACATAGATGTTGATGGGTCTATATCATCACTATTTACAATCAATGCTACAATATGTTATCAAAGACTCTCTAACCTTAGATGAACACGTTGCTATCATTTTTTTTTTTGGACACAATAGCTTATTATAACAACAGTACGACCTACTAAAAACACCCTTAGTTTTGGCTTTAAGTAGTCACCTTAACATCTTGTGCAGGTTGGATCCAGAATAAACTCGAAACCACAGAATCCATACATGTTCAATCAATACAATGAATCAGCCGCTTGTGCATAAACGCGTACACACAAATAAACTTAACTATATCAAAAAGTGTAACTTTCGAAAGTAACAATCCCCCTAAAGAAGCCATAATAGGAAGAAGCAAATGTAACTGTGGAAAAGAGCAGGCATTAATAAGTAGGATCTAGTGACGAAATAGAACTGTTCAAACCTTAATAAAAGGCCACCCTCGGGAAAATGGATAATGGCCGCTTAAAGGAAAAAAAAACCTCACCGTCATTTTGATTACTGGCCGCCTAATTGGGGTGGCCGTTTAATAGGTGGCCGCCTGATAGAGGTTGGACTGTATAACAACGAAAGGGATTTCCACAGAATGCGTCCCCCCACTCTCCGTTGGTAACAATTTGATATATTGAAAGCGTCATGGCTTTTAATTTGCCTCTAAACAATTTCACGCTCTTTCAAGACATAGATTTTGATGGGTCTATGTCACCACTCTTTATAATCAATGCTACAATATGGTATCAAAGAGACTAGTATTAGCTGTGATTTGGTAGTCATTTCGCTATCTTGCTTTCAGCAAATCCATAATGCTTAGACCAGTAACTTTGCCGTGTGGGCATTCCGCATGTAGGAATTGCTACAGGAGACTGCTTGAGATAGAGGAACAGAAAAGCAAAACTACGGCACTTTGCCCTGAATGCCGAAAGCACTTTGGCAGAGAGTCACTAATAGTTAGCTATGCCATGGACAGGGTTACCAGCAGTCTAGAAGTTCAATGTTTGAACGAGGATTGTGAATGGAAAGGGCAACTGGGAGAGGCCGAAGACCATAACCGGCAGTGCCCCCGTCAGGCAAAAATATCATGTCCCTTAGGCTGTAACGAGAAGCTACTCTGGCAATTCAATTATCTTGAAAAGTTTCTTTGTGTCATCGAATGTTTTTTAAAATACATGCACCATCGTACTCTCGGCCGGAACTTTAATGCAGGGTGAAGGCTGTCTATCGCGAAGACAGAAATCGTCTTTGACTATTCACAGCCTCTCTTTTCACGCACGCGAAAGAAAAAGCGAGCGAAGGGAGCGCGAAGCACGCAGGGGTGGAGGGTGGGTTTAGCAAACGAATCGAACGTCTCCCCAGTCAAGTCTTTCGTTCTGCGCTGGCGTCCATTTTCCTCGCGATTCTATCCGTGCGTTCAACGATGAAATGAAAATACGAGAAAACAGAAGGCTGTAAGCAGTCTAAAAATCCTCTACGAAGTTAATCATGGCAGTGTAGTTAAACCGCTAATAAAGAAGTAAAATTACTGTAAGTAAGTAAAGTTATCTTTTGTTGAAGTTTTAGACTTTGTGGTTCGGAAAAAGAATAAAAATGTTCCCACTTCCTTCCAGAATTTATTCATCAAACGTTCACTGATTACTTTTTTCATAATAACCTTTGTGTACAGGAAAAATTGGAGTTTGTACATTTTTATTGCAGGAGTCAGTTTGCTTTCCATTTGAGTTCATGTCCATGTAGGATTGTGACTTGCAAAGTCAAGGATGCAATCTGATGTTCCAGAGGGGCGTGTGGGAGGACCACATGGTCAGCTGTGCACTAAGCCACTCAGTTTTATACGAGGGCGAAATACGGAGACTACGTCTTCAACGATCGGGCCAGAAGATATGAAATGATAAAGAATACACACTGTCCCACTTACCATTTGATTGTAAAAAAGTTTTATTGTTTCCTAAATAACCGAGTAAGTCGTTTCAGAATGGTTATAGTTATCAGTCAAGCAATCAGTGACTCTATAGAGGGATAGATAAGTCACTTAATCGTACACTGAATTACGTCATCATTTAATCATTTTATTTTGTCATCAATGAAGCAATTGATTATTGAAGGTAAAATGACTAAGTAGAGTCCAATACGTCTGTAATCGTACGAGTGATAAACAAAATCGGACAACCGCCAGGCGGGAGTCCGATTTCTTAATAGAGAGTATGATTACAGACAGAATTGGACGAGAGGAAGTCCTTTTACCAATTAATTATAACCATTAAAATTTCCCCACCCCCCACCCCTCCCCCCCAAAAAATGCTTAAAAATACTGCAATCCGCACTGTCTGAACAGTGAATTCAGGGACATTTTATTTTTCAAACAAGACGATGTAAGGGAAACCGAACTCTTGAGAGAGGACTTCGTGTTCTCTTTCACATGGATGTTAGAAAGGGGTAGCACTACGGTGGCAAGTGCATCTTTCAGAGTGGGCGACGAGAAATGGAGGGGTGTGCGGAAGGACGGGAAAATATTCCTCCAGTTAGAATCTTCCGTAAACCCACAAAAGATAAAGGCCAGGTAAGAGATTAAATCTCAGTAGGTAGTTATCGAAGCCTCAAAAATACTGTAAGTGAAAAGTTGAAAGTGAAACCTTCCATAAAACAATAACCCAGGGAGAAATGGTACAATTTGAGAGAAATACAGTTTATTGGAACAGAACGTCGAAAGTTATGTAGCTATCATAGTAAACATCGACGGGACAGAAGAAATGCAAATGCACAGGGATAAGAGGGATCACGTGAATAAGATAAGTAACTGAGTAACCATATCTAAATTTCTCTCTTCCTTAACAGTATCATCCTACTGCCCGTTAAAAAAGAAGAAGTAAAAGCCGAAGTGCCAATTACTGACTTAAAAGAAGGGGAGATGGTTGGAAAAGTGAGTGAAGAGAGGAAAACAAGAAATGGGCAGCCAAATGACCGGTCAATAGTAAAATTTATTATTAGTACTTTTGTGCATGTGTAAGTAAATTTAATAGAAAGTTAAAATTTCATTTAATTAAATATTTCTGCCCGTCCTGTTTCCGATTTAGGCGTGCCCTAAACAGGTCAGTATAGATAGTGTTGGATATATAGTTAAAAACTAAAACAAATTGATATTCTAGGTGTGAGTTTTCATTATCTTGAATTGATTTTAGTCGCAGAGGACTTTATGTATTGTTTATAGTTTATGTGATAGTTTTGTTAAAGATCATGTTAATAGGAGCATATTTTTAAATTTTTAAAGTAAGCCCTCGGTGTTTCAGTTTGAGAAAATTCCCTTTCCATTAGGGTACAAATTTTTTGGGGGGGATTGTTTTTAAGGGGGGTTGTTTTGTTTATGTTCATAAAGTATAATATATATATTTAGGCAAACCTAAAAGCGGAGCTCGCATTTTTTTTTCCCCGCACGTCTCTTCAACAAAACTAAAGCCCCTACTATGGATAAAGTGCGTGGTAGTATTAGTGGATTTTCATTCGCAACTTCTCCGTGTCCGTGTAGAGGACTGATTATAAGCTACAGTTGGCCGCGCATGCTAAAAGTAGCACCTTGTACGGTCGGTCGTATGGTCGTACATCCAAATTTTTTCGGCTTGATGGGTTAGTACTATTTTGTATAATGATGGGACTACGCTCTGCGAGCTCCGCTACAATAAACAATTGCAACTTTGACGATCATGTGTAAAAGTACGCATGAGTGGCCATGAATGACCACGAATGACCATGAGTGAAAAAGCGGGAAAAAGTTAATCGTTAACCAAAATAAAAACAATAATAAGAAAAATATTGCAGTGAATTTAATGGGATATATTAAACGTAAAGGAACTGTAGCCCTCATTCAATAAAAACCCTGAATAAAAGGAAAAAAGGTAAATGCTTAGATGTTTCCGTTTTTCGAATCATTTCTTGACTGTGCATGACACGTGATTTTATTGTAAGTTTTTAAGAAAGCTTATGACAAGATCTAAATTTCTGTTAAGTTCGAATGTGATTTTTTCCTTGTATTCTGTAATAAGCAAAGTCTAGTTGTCAACGCTTCATTCATAGTTTGACCTTTAGGCCGTCGACTGAGGTAACGCAATCGTATCGTTTTGCCGAAAAAAATAACTCTTAAAAATGTTTTAAGGATCTATTGATGAAATTAATATATTGATTATAATGAATATATATTTTTTATTAGTCATTCAGAAAGCTTAAAATACTTTTTTTTTTGGTTGTCTAAATCAGCCCTACAGTTCTTTTTTCAACAATTCTTTTTCCTTTAATATTTCCCATAAAATTCACTGTAATATTTTCTTACCTAATCAATTATTTTTATTTTAGTTAATGATTAATTTTTTTCGCTTTTTTACTAGTAGTTACTAGTGGTAACTCGTGTTTACTTTTAGACATGATCCATTTTAATTACAAAACTTAGGGAAAACTAAATTGGGTTTTAATTTCTTTCAAATTAATCTTTTTAATGAAGAACTGAGAGTATTTCAAATAATTGTCAGTTTAGTTTTACCCTAAAGACCCTTAAAACCTTAAATGTTTAATCCCAAAAGCACACTTCTTTACACTTGACATAATAGCCAAACACACTGAACATATTTACTTTAGAAATTAATCCAAACTGAGCTTCCTGTTCACCTTTCCTTCCCTGTGCTTTCTCTATCAGTTCTTTTACATGACCAGTGGAGGGTATTACAGTGAGGGGTGAAGTACCTAAGAACAAAAAGTACAGGGAGAGAGTAGTATTCACAGCCTCTCTTCATATACGC